ATATCTACAGATCCCTCACATCCTGGACATAAATTGTTTCAACTTCTACCCTCAAAACGACGCTATAGAGCACTGCACACCAGAACAACTAGACACAAGGACAGTTTTTCCCCGAACGCCATCACTCTGCTAAACAAATAATTCCCTCAACACTGTCAAACTATTCACTAAGTCTGCACTACTATTAATCTTCTCATCGTTCCCACCACCCATCTCCTTCCACTTATGACTGTATGACTGTAACTTTGTTGCTTGTATCCTTACGATTTATATTGATATTGTTTCCTGATTGCTTATTTGTACCCTATGACAATCATTAAGTGTTGTACCTTATGATTCTTGATGAACGTATCTTTTTCTTTTATGTACACTGAGGGCATATGCACCAAAGACAAATTTCTTGTGTGTCCAATCACACTTGACCAATAAAGAATTCTATTCTATTCTATTCTATTCTATTCTATTCTATTCTATTCTATTCTATTCTATTCTATTCTATTCTATTCTATTCCATTCCATTCCATTCCATTCCATTCCATTCCATTCCATTCTACTTACACTCTTCCCTCCAAAATCATTGCAGCTTTTTATTCCGCAGATTAAGGGCGGGGGGGGAGGAAAAGACAGAACAACTCATTTAAATATGAATAGGAAAGTAGGTTAGAAGGCACATCACAGGCTGCATCATCACACCTTCACTCCCCTGGGCCCACATCTTTGCAATGACTTTTCAGGCATTTAAATATCCTGAGTCTGGGTTGCATAATGTACTTAAACAGATCAGTTCAAAACTTCGCACTTGCATTTATTTTATTTGATGCACTAAATCCATTTATGTGGCCGCCCAACTTGCAAATATGACTCCGGGCAACTAACTATGTCGTAGAACAGTAGGGAAAAAATGCAGTATCAGCAAAAAAAAAAATTAGTCGGCAAGAACAAATGAAAGACTCACCCAACAGGAACAAAGACATCCTCACGGTTATCTAACCTTAATGTCAACTTAATGTTTGTGGTTTGAATAAATAGGTGTATGTATTCAGGTTCTATTTATGTTTTTTAACTGTTGGCTAGGAAATGTCTAGAGATTGATGTAAGATGGATACTTATATAAATGTGTCAAATAAATAAATACTTCCCAACTCCAATGCCCTGGTTAAATATGCCATAGTTGTTTGTTTTATTCTTTCTGTGGCCTAACAAGTTGCACAATTGTGGCCTGTTTGTTTTATGAGTTAGTGCATTGTGTCTGCGTAGAAAATAGATTAATTTAAGAGTGGGATATAGCTGGCCTATTCTCTGTGACATTCTTGGTTTTTGCTTTTCTGGTGTTGGAAATTCTCCATTAAAATTTGAAGATGGGCAATAGGGTTTTCCTTCTGTTGGGGAATTCTGGAATTCCCAGTGGCACAAAATGTTTTGTTCAGCCCTTCCACCTGTGGTGTTTTCCAGCTTCGATGAGAGTTCAGCTCCTAGAATTCTCAGGCAGCTTGAGGGTTTGTAATCTTTGCACATCTGGAGATCAACAGGCTATAGATATCTATTCCAGTTGATCATGCTTGTAATTTACCCATCTTTACTCCCATCTTTAAGATGTGTGGACTTCAATTCCCAGAATTCTCCTGCCAGCATGTTAGATAGGGATTTCTGGGAGTTGGAATCAGTGGTGAAATGTTAAATTTGTTGCTACAGGTTCTTTGGGCATGGCTTGGTGGAGGGGGGGGGTTAATGTGACTGGGTGGGCATGGCCAACTTTTTTTTTTTACTTTTAAAAACATTTTTTCTACAACCTTAAGAGGTTGCAGAAAAAAATGCTTTTAAAAGTTTCTGACGATCCCAGCTTAGCCGCGCGATCATCAGAGGCTTTTTTTTTTACTTTTAAAAGCATTTTTTCGGCCAAAGAGGTTGTAGAAAAAATGCTTTTAAAAGTTAAAAAAAAAAGCCTCTGATGATCATGAGGCTCAGCTGGGCATGAGGGGGGCAGAGATTTTTGCTACCGGTTCTCCGAACCACCTGCCTCCATCGCTACTGGATCGGGTGATCCAGTCCGAACCGGGAGCAATTCACCCCTGGTTGGAATCCTCATACTTTAAACCAGGGATGCGAAACTCGATTTCACTGAGGGCCGCATCAGGGTTGTGTTTGCCCTCAAGGGGTTGGGGGGGGATGTGGCCAGGGTGGGCATGGCCAGTTCGATGTCACTGTGGTGGCCCAAGCACTCTGCCAGCAAAAACGGGCTTCCGAGCTCCGTTTTCGGCTGTGATGGCCTCCTGCAACCCTCTGCCAGTGAAAATGGAGCTCAGGAGGGCCGCGTGCGTCCCGTGTGAGCTCCGTTTTTGCTGGCAGAGGCACCACGGGCTGGTTCTTTGCTGTTTCCAGGGAGGCCCTGCGGGTCAGATCTAAGTACCCTGCAGGCTGGATCCAGCCCGTGGGCCTTGAGTTTGACACCCCTGCTTTAAACCTCAAATCTAAGGTTGAGAATCACTGGCATAAAAGGGAAAACTGTCTAATACAAGAAATTTTCTGCTTCTCCCACCTCCTTTAAATTCTGATTGAGGATCAGATAGAAGATAGAAAAGGTGTCTGAGAAAATATAGAAAAAGAATGCATGCTGCAAGAAGAAGAAAAAAATTCCCCAAAATTTGGCGGCATGAATTAAGTCCAGTATTATTTGTGTTTCCATTTCTTAAGAAACAATCAGAATAGAGCTGGAAGGGCCCTTGGAGATATTCTAGTCCAACCCCTTGCTTAAGCAGAAGACCCCATACCCGTGATGGCAAACCTATGGCACGCGTGCCACAGGGGGCACGCAGAACCATATTGGTGGGCACGCGAGCTCAGCTCCGGCCAACTGATTTTTGGGCCTTCTGTGCCCACTGGAAGTCAGGAAACATGCTTTTTCCAGCCTCTGGGTGGCCTCAGAGGATATGGGGAAGGCCGTTTTCACCCTCCCCAGGCTCCTAGAAAGGCTCTGGAGCCTGGGAGAGTGAAAAAGGGGCCTACCGGGCCCACAGTGCCATTGTGTGCCAAAAGGGGGGGGAGTGCTGGGGGGGTCGTGCGCACATGCACGGGGGGGTGAGGCACATAGAATTAAGCGGGAAATTCACGTTCGTTTTAATAAGAAAGCCTTGTGCGAAGAATTTTATAAACGAACAAGGGATCAAACTATTACATATAAAGGCCAACGGATAATAGTTTTGAAACGAATTCCACATCGGGTAAGAGAACAGAGAAGCAGATATCAATTTTTGACGACTTTCCTGAGGAAAAACGCAATTTTGTATCATTGGCTGTTACCTGAAGGCTTATTGATGACATGGAGGGATAAGAAAGTGAGGATTCGGAGTCTTCAAGAAGCAAGAGAACTCATGGAACAACAATTTAATTTGTCAGAATTAGATGTTGAAGGAGAAGGGGAAAGTAGAAGCCTGGAGGAATCGCAAGAGGAAGAAGAGGTAGAGGAGAGGAGAGAAGGAAAGGCGGGAAAGAAGGGTGGGGGAACACGAAAAATTGAGGAATTAACAACGCCTCAGAGGGAGACAAGACAAACAGCTAAGAAGGCCACAACAGCGGGAAAGTAAAAACTTAGGTGAGAAAAGGAGATGGGGGAATTAGTACGTTTGATATCTGTAAATATTAATGGTTTAAATGCTCCTAATAAGCGTAGTAGGATTTTGAACAAATTAAGAAAGGCTAAGTATGATATTGTCTGCATGCAGGAGACCCATATAAAAAAAGAATGTCCTTGAAATTTACACATTCATGCTCATGTATATATACTGTATATGACTCACTAATGGCCTAAAGGGAGAAGGATTTTTAAAAATGGTCTAGGAAAAAAGAGGCTAATCCCACTCACTGGCTAGGATCTCCAGTTTTCTACAGGTAATCCTCAATTTACAACTATTCATAGAGTGACTGTTCAAAGTTACAGCAGCACTAAAAAAAAGTGTCTTATGACCATTTTTTCACACTTATGACCATTGCTGCATCCCTGTGGTCATGTGAACAAAATTTGAACATTTGGCAACTGGTTCTCATTTATGACCGTTGCAGTGTCCCGGTGTCATATGACCATTTTTTGTGACCTTCTAAGAAGCAAAGTCAATGGGGAAGCCAAATTCACTTAACAACTGTGAAACTAACTTATGTTCTGCCCCAGCTACAGACCCCAAAGAACACAGCACACACAAAGTCTGTACAAAACTTAATTTACTAAAATAATTCAGTCTATTTCAAACAAAGGCTGTTAATAAACTTTCTTAACAGCCTACAAGAAACCAAAGATAAAGTAATCACAATCTTACTATGGTGGGCAGAAAGCCCAGAAGCAATTTACAGAGAATCCAGACGCGAAGGAGAGTGAACTAAAGTTGTTCCCTACAAGTTGCTTCAGTCGGTGTTCCTCCTTAAATAGGCTAAGGAAGTGGCCAATTAGCCCCAAGTCTTACTCTCGAGGAGACCTCCTCCTGAGGCACCACTCCTGCCTTTTGGCAGCTCTGCGTGCCTGTGCATCGAGAAGAGGCTCCTCCTCTTCGTCCTCTTCACTTAAAGGAGCTTCTGGAGGTTCTGAAGGCCCTGGCTGAGTCCCTGCCTCTGGCACCACATCTTCTCCAGCCTCCTCATTGTCTGACTCGAGTGCCAGCTGCACAGGCTGCTGGCACAATGCCACACCAGCCTCCTCATTGTCAGAATCAGCTACAATCTGCACAGGCCACTGACGGGCCACAAGAACTTAAGAACTGCAGTGATTCACTTAACAACTGCAGTAAGAAGGTTGTAAAATTGGGCAAAATTCACGTAAACAATTGACTTTCTTAGCAATGGACATGTTGGGCTCAGCTGTGGTAGTAAGCCAAGGACTACATGTATTTCAAAGAACCAAGTTGTTGTAAATTTCCTAAGAACAGCTTCAAGGTCTTAGTCTTAGCATTAGTGCTTGAAGAAAATCAATGCACTAAGAAAATAATTCAACCCTTCTTTTATTTTTTTTTCTTTAGAAATTCGGGAAGCTTTCCGAGTCCTGGACCGGGATGGCAATGGCTTCATTTCCAAGCAGGAGCTGGGAATGGCCATGCGCTCTCTGGGATACATGCCTAGCGAGGTGGAACTGGCCATTATTATGCAGCGGTTGGACATGGATGGTGAGTCTTCCAGTTTTTCTCATAGTCTTTGCTGAAGGAGAATGTGCTGGTTGCCAGCAGACTTCCAGGTAGAATTCAAGGTGCTACGTAACCCTTTTAAAATTCTTAATGCCACAGAGCCAGGTTATTTACAAGACTGTTAGCAATAAACTCTCCTCATCCAGTAAGTTGGTGAGCTCCAAACCCTGTCACTCAATAAATGTGATCTGGTAGGACCTAGGAGATGTGCCTTCTCTATCAAATGCCTGTCCCTGGAATAGCAAGAACCAAATGGCCCTGACTTTCCCTATCTCCAGGGGTGGGATTCAGCCGGTTCGGACCAGTTCGGGTGAACCACTTAGTACTGGTTGTTCTAAGGACTGGCTGACACCACTCACCCCATCCCTCCCAAGAGTCTCCACGCAGCCCATTTTGGATGCCAGATAAGTGCAGGGGGTGAGCGGAGGCTCTGGGAGACACCACGGTGGGGCGGGGGGCATTTTCACCCTCCCCAGGCTTCAGAGGCATTCCTTGAGCCTCCAGCAGGGCGAAAACAGCCTCCCCCAGGCTCTGGAGGCCCTCCAGAGGAATGAAATGGGCCCATTTCCAGACTTCCGGTACTTCCAGTAGGCCCGGTTATTGTCCTCTCCAGAGGCTTTCCTCGAGCTTCCAGGAGGGCGAAAATGGCCTTCCCTGTGCACTGGAGGCCCTCCGGAGGCCGCAAACAGGCCCGTTTCTGGACTTCTGGTAGGCCCATTTTTTCACCCTCCCAGAGCCTTCGTGCACGCCTTGCACTTACCTGGCATCCAAAATGGGCTGCGTGGAGACTTCTGGGAGGGGCGGAGTGGGGTCGGCGGGTTCAGCCAGTCCTTGGAACAACCGGTTCAGTGAACAAGATTAAAATTAACATCCGGTTTTCCCAAACCAGTCTGAACCAGCTGAATCCCACCCCTGCCAGTAGCCCAAAAGGCTTGGGAGAAAATCAGTGGTGGCTTGCCCCCGGTTCGGTCCGGTTCTTGCGAACTGGTAGTAAAACCGGGGGGTAGCTCCGCCCACCCACCCGGATGTCGTCATAGATGATCTGCGCATGCATAGAAACTCAGCAAGCGAAGTGATCCCATCACGTGATTCCGTTGCGAACCGGTAGTCAAGGTAAGTAGAACCCACCCCTGAAGAAAATAGTTTATCTGGATGCCAAGTGTGGTAACTCACTGTGGAAAAAATGCAAAAGAGGGAAATCATCCAACACGTGAATATGAGTGGGAGAATGCATTTACTTGCCTGTGATATCTTCGTTGCTTTCATCTGCATGGAATTGTATGGATTTTCCTCTTGAAAGGGTGCCTGAAGTGCCCATCTTTTCATTATGTTCTTACTCTATTTGGAGAAGTATCTCTGTGCACACACAACTATCTTCTTCCGAAGCCTTTCACCAGAACTTCTTATCAAAGAGCAGGAAGCTCATTGATAAGAGTGCCTTTTCAATAGCACAGCAGATAGCCCTCCAGAAACAGCCTATCGTGACACTTTCATTGTGGTGAATACCTTGCTTTTATTTTCCATGCTTCTTTTCAGAATTACTGGTTATTTACTGTTGGTGCTTTTATGTGCTGCCCTATTGTTAAAGTAAATGGATACGATTTCTATTTCATTGCTGTTTTTATTACGTTATATTGTGAGGTGTGATTGACAGGCATTCTACTACACGTAGTCCTCGATTTACAACAGTGACCGTTCAAAGTTACAATGGCATGAAAAAGTGATTTATGACAATTGTTCACACTTACGAAAATTGCGGCATCCCTTGTGGTCATGTGATAAAAATTCAGATACTTGACAACGGATTCATATTTATGACCGTTATAGTGTGCCAAGAACATGTGACCCCCTTTTGTGACCTTCTGAAAAAGCAAAATCAACATGGGAAGCTGGATTCTCTTAACAACCATGTTACTAATTTAACAACTGCCGTGATTCACTTAACAACTGTGGCAAGAAAGGTCATAAAATGGGGCAAAACTCACATAACAAGAAATGTATCACTTAGCAATAGAAATGTTTGGCTCAATTGTGGTCATAAATTGAGGATTACCTGGAATGTAATGAATAAAGTAAATCTGATTTCTACCTGTATTAAATTCTATTAACCATTCAGTATTCTTCTCTCCTTCAGTACGTGAAGGTAAAGGTTCCCCTCGCACATATGTGCTAGTCGTTCCCCACTCTAGGGGGCGGTGCTCATCTCCGTTTCAAAGCCGAAGAGCCAGCGCTGTCCAAAGATGTCTCCGTGGTCATGTGGCATGGCTAAATGCCAAAGGTGCACGGAACGCTGTTACCTTCCCACCAAAGGTGGTCCCTATTTTTCTACTTGCATTTTTCATGTGTTTTCGAACTGCTAGGTTGGCAGAAGCTGGGACAAGTAACGGGAGCTCACCCCGTTACACGGCACTAGGGATTTGAACCGCTGAAGTGCCGATCTTTCGATTGACAAGCTCAGCGTCTTAGCCACTGAGCCACTGCGTCCCTTCAGTATGTAGTCAGAGGCAAAAATGCTACCCTGATAACATCTGTGTGTGTGTGTGTGTGTTGATTTTTAGCAATTACATGCAGTTGTCTGTGCAATTTTCTTGTCAACATTTCCAGAAACAGTTTGCCCTTGTCTTCTTCTAGGATTGAACGAGAGAGCGATTGGCTGAGATTTACTAAATTAGCTTCCAGTTCAATGCAGGACTTGGAACTTAAAAAGCCTCTGAGCTTCTAGTCCATTGTCTTCAATCGCTACAGAAATTATCAGAAAGGGTTTTTTTTTTCTTCTGCCAATCTGTCTAGATGCTGAGTATACATGCATAAATGTTCTCCTTAATGGGCCTTTATAACATTTACAAAAATACATGATTCTTTTATAAAATAATGTAATGGTTTGAGATGGAAATGGTGGGAGATACCCGATCCTGACTTCCTGCAGTTTATCTGTATGCTAAGCCTGGATGTATAATAATGTGCTAAATTGGATCAGGAGAATTGGGTAAAGAGGAATTGGACATTTCCCACCTCTTACTATTTCCCCAATTGTAAGAATAAGCACAAATGTCTGTTCTAATAAATTTTGACTGCCAAGAAAGGGCAGCACCAGCAGTTTCCAAATTCTTAAGCAAAGAGCCCAAGTTGTTGAATCCAGGAAAGTGGTGTCCTCCTCTAACTTTTAAATAATCCACATTTCCAAAACTATTCAAAGAATAAGCTTTTTTTCAACTATCAGCAAGATAAAAAACAATGGAAAAACCCACCCAGGCAAGGAGGAGGGATCAAGCAGGGAACTAGCCTTGAATCTTTGCACAGCTGCAAGAAGCATATGCCTGACATTCCCACCCCAAGTTCCATGCAACTTTATCGGTTTACACAGTAGTTTATATAGTTGAACTTTATCTTTCCCAAAGGAAAGTGAACATTCTGGGGAAATTCCTGTACTATAGATAGAATACAGTAGTCCAGGGGTGTGCAAATTTTACATGTGTTAGGCACAAGCAACCAGAAGCACATGTGAAAGGTTCAAATTACTACAGGAGTGGGCAAATGTGGCTCTTTTACAACCTGTGGACTTCAACTCCCAGAATTCCTGAGACAGCTGTGAATTGGGGAGAAATAGCTTAAAAAAGAAGGGAGGAAATGCTCAGGTTTACAATACCTTCAATAAATATCTGGGCTGTTGTTAGGCTGGCATCCATTCACTGATAATCCAGAAATTTAAATTTCTCTTAATGGCGCAAATTGTAAAAGTTGTATAGCAATAGCAATAGCACTTAGACTTATATACTGCTTTATAGTGCTTTACAGGCCTCTCTAAGCAGTTTACAGAGTCAGCAAACAGCAGTAATGGGGACTGTTATTAAGTTTGGCATCAGGTTTTACAGTCATATCAGGGGTGAAATCTACTTACCTTCCCAACCGGTTCAGAAGTGCACGCGCCACATGCTTGGACCCTCTGTGCATGCGCAAACCCTCTGTGCATGCGCAGAGGGTAAAAAAAAGTTACTTCCTGGTTAAATCCAGGAAGTAATGACGACCGGGCAGGTGGGCGGAGCCTTGCACCACCATCGCTACCGGTTCTCCGAACAACCAGCCGCCATCGCTACCGGTTCGGCTGAACTGGTCCAAACCGGGAGCATTTCACCCCTGAATCGTATGCCATTGAGCTTTACCACTGCATTGCTCAGCAATGGAAATTCTGGTCCCAAATGCCATCATAATTGTAATCAAAGTGTGCACACTAGACAAGTTAGTTTTGATACCCTTCCCCACATTTGGAGTAAGCTCCCATTCGAGTTGGAAGGACCATGTTAAGATAATTAAATTTAATAGGTGGAGCAGTGGGGTTGTACAGTGAGCCAAAACACACAGTTATAGTTGATTGGTTGGAGAGTGAAGCAGTCTGCGTTGTGATAGGTTGCTGTGGGTGTGGAGGAGGCGTTTCCCTTTTCTCCCCGCCTTTTTTTCTTCTGTGGGCTCTGTATGTTCTGTAATTTACCTCATGATGCTCCTGTTTGTCTCACCATCTAGTTTGTGGTGTACAGGTAGTCCTCGACTTAACAACGATTCATTTAGTGACCGCTCAAAGTTACAACTTTACTGAAAAAAAGTGACTTACGACCGTTTTTCACACTTCCGACTCTTGCAGCATCCCCATGATTTACATCCGGATGCTTGACAACTGACTCACATTTATGACGGTTGCAGTGTCCCGAGGTCATGTTGCACAACTTTTGCAACCTTCTGACGAGCAAAGTGAATGGGAAAAACTAGATTTACTTAACAATCATGTCACCAATTTAACAACTGCAGTGATTCCCTTAACAAATGTGGCAAGAAAAGTCATAAAATGAAGCAAAACCAGGATTGGGTTCTACTTACCTTTACTACTGGTTCGCAGCGGGTCTAGGGTCTCCTGCTTGGGTGGGGGTTGGACTAGATGACCTACAAGGTCCCTTCCAACTCTGTTAATCTGTTATGACTTTAAAGAGGTG